GAGCCTCTCCTGCCCAGCAGCACCAGTGTGACAGCTAAAAGAAAAATAAACTTTGTAACCAAAAATTGCAAATTTCCAGTAAAAAAAACAACATCCTAAAGTTGCTTTTGTGTCCTTTTGGTTACATAGGGATGTTTTAGCAGAAATGTTTCCTTTTACATAAGTACATGTTTCAGTTATGGATGATAAGCTGCTATCACTGGCCCCTAGTGTGCAGCCCGACGTGGGATTATTATCCACCGCCTTTGATACAACAATTATTTCAGAAGAATTAATATATTTATACGTTTATTGTTTGCTGCTCAATAATCATATTAAATGACATCTTTCATGCTGTATTTGTTGAGGTTATATTTCCATGCTGTATTTACATTTAAGCAACAACATAATTAAGTGTAAGAGAGTTTTTATTAAAGCAAGCAGGTTCTCATGTGAAACACAGATTATTAGTGATTTCAATCATTTTAAAACATGATGAAACCAAACATTTTTGTTCTGTCCAAAAGCATAAATATCTAAGTTGGAAACACGTTTAAAAGTTACATGAAGGTCATTGACTGAGTCATAGAAAAAACATAAAACAGAGACAATTTTCTAGGTAAAAAAGCTGTTAAGCAAATGAAATAATAAATAATAGTCCCTGTTTCCAAAGGCTCTTTTTTTTTTTAACAAAAGTTGAATACTTACTATCACCCTTAGTCATATCTCTTTGTGCACCTGGAACGAGCCTGAACTTCTCGCTAATGTCTCCCTGAGAGACGGTGCATTTGGTATAGTTATAGTGCCTTTGGTATGCCTTTAAGAGAGGGCGGGAGCATTGTGTGGGAGGTACTTAACATTACTCGGCACATAAATACCCTCAGCATGCCACAGCATTACTCTGAATCCATATAAAAGAAGCAGTGAATCACTGCAGGTTTAAAGTTGATTTCACTTTCAAAACCAGCTCATTGGGCAGCTTAGGCAGTCGCCTAGCCAACCAACGTCAGAGAACATGGGTTTGTTTATACCCCTAAAAGTAATTACACACTTTGCGGTGCTGGTACAGAACAGCCGCACTTAGCCAGCCAGTTTCCCTCCGTCTCAGGCGACGTGTACCACAACTGCTGCTCTGCGGTGTAGCTGAGCCTTGGCAATTAATCGTGTATACAGTCATTGCGATACAGAAATTCTATAAAACATATATGATAATACTATCCTCCTATGGTATCAAAAGCAATGCAATTACAGTTACTCTCATCAAAGACAAATTAACGTGTTATTGCTTGAGATCCTCCTATTAGTTTGCACTTTATGATTAACAGTAATGTGTTAATGCATTAACAGGCTGAGGTCTTTATTCTTACATCTTTATTCTACATCTTTGTTTGATTATGTTCTGTGAAATATTTTTAATTGCTCATTTCCTTCAAAGGGCCCATCATTTAAGACATATTATTTTTGTGTGTAACTATTTCTAATTTATTTTTCATCATGTGATAATGTTGCTGTACAGTGATGTGGGTGCAGTGAAGCTCACCTAGGGTGACACATGGGCTTCAGCCTGTTCTGGTCATGTTTGGGTTTCAGTGTTACAGTGGAAGCCTTAAGGTGAATGGTCAAAAAAAGGATTAAAGGGACGTTCTGTAATGCTGACTTTACTGCTCGTGTCTTTTTCAACTCATTAGAAAGTTTCAAAGCAACTGAATCTGAATATTTTTTTGGAACAATAAAACAAAGAAGCTTATATAAATACGGTCCGGTGAAGTTCACATAAAACCGACCCTGGACTCTCCACGGCTTTTGCTCGGATTAAAAGGCCAATACCCCAGTTGGCCTGATAATGAAAAGTGGCAGAGGGCAGAGCGAGGTGCCTGCAACACCAGTGCTACCCAGGGGCATTGCTAGAGATTTTGGGCCCCATGAAAGCATATCATATTAGGCCCCCCAGTCCAAACCAATCCAGTTATTTTCCTAATTTTTTAGGGCCCCTGTCACTCAGGGGCCCTTGGAATCGTCCTAGCTTTCCTCCCCCTTACGGCGCCCCTGGTGCTACCTAACAGAAGACCTTTCCCCACACAAAAGCGCCCCATTTCCCTCCCACCAGATTTGTTTACCTGCTTCATTCACATACTGAAATCTGACTTGCTGCCAGCTCATTTTCTGTCAGTTAGTTGGAAGTGGTGTGGAAGTATAAGGATGTTAGGGAGATTATCTGTCACCTCGTAATGACATTCAGAAAATGTAATAATAATAGTTAGCAATTTAAGAATAAACATATGCATCGCCATTGGGTGGTGTTCATAAGCGGCTGCCAAATTCCCCCATTAGAATATATGAAGTACATGTTATTTTACAGACTCACTTCTTGCACAACATCAGGACCAGACATACTGGTTAGTTGAGCAGTCTACCAAAGCAAACAAGTACTGTACAAAGCATGTTTTAAGATGCATGAATGTATGTGAAATGTACACGAACATTTTAAAATTCCAGCATTGAATAGACTGCAGTGCGTATTTGGACAGACTGTTCACATACTGTTCATATTCTTCATACTTTTCAGATATATTGATATAGTGTTTTGCTTGCAGTGAAACATCACTGTATTTCAGCTTTGATTTTATCCTTAAGATTATGAATAGTGCAAGTACACATTTTATAAAACATTATAGATATTCCAAAACTACATACATTTAATAGAATTAATTAAAAGAAATGCATGGCGCAAACATTACTTTTATTGATAATAAACAGCATCATACATTTGAAATTCTTGAATGCTGCTTTCCAGGTTCAGATATAGAACCATAAATATTGCCTGGTAATTCATTTATTGGTTCATTTTATCCCAAAGAGAAGGAATCCTTCACTGTCCTGTGATCATTCTCTCTCCACAGTACTTTTACATTATAGGCACAGAAACCTCGCTAACCCCCCCCCCCCCAATTACATCCACAAGATTTTCCTGTTTTCTTATAATCTTTTTCACAGTCACTGTCATCATCTTATGTTGTGTGACAATATGTTTCATGTGTTACACAAATATGAAATCTTTGTTTTGAAAGATTCATAAATGGAACAAAACTGCCTGCTGCATTTCTAGGACAGGATATGAAAAATTCTGCCGTGTTTATATCAACAGACATATCACCTGGGGGAGGTGCCTTCGACACTATCAAACGAAGTCAGAGTGAAGTCTGTGGGAGGGAGCACTAAATGGGAGTTACTGTTAGACGGTATATGAAAATATCTTTGTAAGGCCTGGCAGACCTCTCCAGCAGCAGACTATGAGCTGTCTTCAGGGGAAAATGGCTCTGACGATAAACAAAGGTGGGTTGGCATATTGTCTTCAATGTGCCTTGACTGTTCTGGATTAATTTTATCCATTCACAGTGTAGACCATATAATTAGACTTTCTAATGGTAGATTTTCTTATTTTTATTGGATTATTTTCAGAAAGTGTGACATAATGTTTGTAAAGATGATATTCAGTATAAGTTTTTGGAATTACTCAATAAAACTGAGCACAGTCTATTACTTTGTACTGAGTATTCGCGTCGCACACTGATGGCTAAAGTTTGGTGTCCTTAGATGTTTACATGGCTCTGAATTTCACTGTGCTTTTAAGTATCAACAAACCTTAACATCTAAGTATTCTTACTCACAGCTGGAGGTGAAACTTCTGGAGAAGAAGGACCTCAGCACCACTTTGACTGCCCCCAAATGAGGATTGTCCTGCTGGGCAAAACAGGAGTGGGGAAAAGCGCAGTTGGCAACACCATCCTGGGCAGGAAACAGTTTGAATCTGCACTCAGAAGTGCTTCAGTCACCAGTCAGTGTCAAAAGGAAGATGCCATAGTATGTGACAGACCCATTGCTGTTATCGATACCCCAGGCCTGTTTGACACTGAGCAGCCCAACAACGAAATCCAGAAAGAGATAGTGAAATGTATCCAGGTCTCCTGCCCAGGGCCACATGCTTTCCTGTTGGTGATGCAGCTCAACAGATTCACTAATGAGGAGAAGAGGTGTGTTGAAGCTCTGCAGGAGATCTTTGGCGAAGAAGCAAACAAATTCATGATCATCCTGTTCACCCGTGGAGATGACCTACAAAACCAGACCATTCATGAATTTATCAGGCATGCCAACCCACACCTGAAGGAGGTGATCAAGAAATGTGGGGGCAGATACTATGTCTTTAACAACAAGACAATGTCTAATAGGGACCAAGTGAAAGAACTGCTGGACATGATTGACAAGATGATGGCCCTGAATGGAGACAACTTTTACACCCAGGAGATGTACAAGGAGGCAGAGGCAAAGATCAGAGAGAAGGAGGAGGAGATCAAGGAAGCAGCCATAGAGAAGAAAAGACTCCATCGAGAAAAACTAGAGAAAGAGCGATTAGAGAGAGCAGAAAAACTTGCAGTAGAGCTGAGAGAAGCACTGGACCAGGAGATTGAAAAGAGGTTATCTGTAATCAGGATGGAATACGAGCAGGAGCTGAAGGAAGCTAGAAGAAAGGCAGAGGAGTCTGATCTCAAATTGAGTTTCTCACAAAAACTCAAGATGAAAGTTTCAAATGCTTTCAGGATTGTAAAGAAAAAAAGTTACTGATGCCCTGTAGGATGGCTAGATGAACACTGCTTCAGGTCCCAAAGCTCTCCTCAG